TATGCTGGATCAGTTCACTTCGCAGAGGAGAAGAGAAAGTGAATGAAGGTTCTTGGTGGGCCAAGACTGCAGAGCAAGGGCTTGCCAGGTAATACAACTGGTGATAAGACAGTGACTGAGTGACTGGGAGGTGTCTCTAATTAGATGTGCATTTGCATAGGGGAATGTGTCAGTCCTGATCTGGAGTGAGGCATGAGGAACGAGATTCAGAGAAAGATGCACAGAAACTGCTGTCACTCAACCCTGCTGCAAGCTCCGCTAACAGTTAGTGCTAGTGTGCTGTTTATGCTTTTAGAGTGAAAGCATATACTTGCTTGGGTAAAACATGCATTTTAATCAAGAAAATAACTCCACGTCTCATAAATCTTCACAGCTGTATGTGTATTAGCTATAGAATCTGTGATAAGCATTCTGTTAAGTACACCACGATAAAATAATTTTACTTAATGTTATGCTTGGGAGAAATTATATGTAATCAGTATTTTAGAAAAAATTAATTGATAATCTGAATTTAAGCTTTATGTTTTGTATTTCTTGTTTAGCATAAAGGTTGTGGTTAAATGATCTGACATGAAAAATATTTGCACAAAATTAGCTTTTGACATTTTCAGTTAAACTTATATTCAGCAAAGGACAAAGCTATTACACATGGGAAGTCATGAAAATTTTCAGTTTAAATAAGGGGTGTTGAATTGACTCAAATATATCTGGTATTGCCAGAACAGTTCAAAAATTGTATTATTGAATAATTGTGATGAAATTTTGAATAAAAGCTATATACCTAAAATCCTATAACTTTAATATACACTTCTTAAAAAATATTTTCTTGACCTTATAAGAGTAAGCAAACTATTAGCATTCTTTTTGTTTCCCATTTCATTTATTTAATTTTTTTTTACAGCTAAATGCCTTAAAGATCTTTAGGAGTATGCAATGCCAGCACAATCTTTGTAGAAAAGAAGGTGTTCTCCAAAGAGTGAGATTTGTCCTGATTCCTGCTCTGAGCATTCTTGCCAGATAAGTTTTCCTAGAGCCTCTTATCAATGTTTATTTGAATCCTCAAATGAACTGACAATTATTCAAAAGGCCAAATTTGAATGCCACCAGTAGAGTGCAGTTAAAATCAAACACAGGACTCTCACTGCTTTGACTTCTGGTATTTTCTTTTAATTTTCATGCACATTTGTTTCACCCAGGATGGCAAAGTGCACTTAAGTACTTTGCTAACAAGTGAGTTATTTCATGTGTATCTATCATAAGAAACAATACATTACTTGGAGAATTGAATATGGGAGAAGAATATAACCAAATCAAGGAGTTATAATGTAAAATCTTTGACATGATATAAATATCACAATATATATTAAGTTTAAAAGAACTTGCTTGATTACAGAGAGTTGCTAACTATAAATTTAACCATGAGATCAATGCAACAAGCACAAAAATGCAGCACCTATTGGGTATTTACAAACTAATAGGCAAAGAAAATCACGTCTTTTAGTGTCACGGGGTCATGCCTGTGAACATTAGTATAATAGGGTTTTTCACTGTTAGCATATGGCACAATCTTAAGAAATGTTTTATAATGTATTATGAAAACCAAAATTCAAAGGACCTAAATGGAATTCCTGTATGCAAATGCTTGTTTTTTCAATTAGTAATAAGCATTATAAAGTATTCTCAATTCCAAAGTAACAGCATTTAAAAGGGGGTGGGGAAAATGTGGTGTCATGTGATCTGAGTGCACCTCAACAGTGTAAATAAACTATGAAGCAATTGAGAGGCAGGTTTACCCATCAACTCCTGTGAGAAGAAAGGCATGGAATTATAAATATTATGAATATCTTTGTGTTAAATAAAATCCAGATTAAACTTCTATTTTATTTGGAGTTTTATTTTTCCTAAAATTCATTATTTCTGACTATACATATTTATTATTATTCATATTATTTACATTATTACTAATATATGTTTATCATTTTCCTTCAAGGTACATTTAAAAGCATGAATATAAGAAAAAACACAAGTATTTTCCAAAGAAAAATGAAATAATGATCTTAATAACCACAGTTAAATGCTCAGGAACATGAGAGTCCTAGCCCCATACAGAGAAAGCATTGGTAAGGTGTGGAAGACGGCCCTGTTTGTGATTCATGTCCTCCAATAGCTACCTACCATGGCCATCAGAGCTACCACACTTACTCCCTGACTGTCACTGACACCCCGCAGTGTTTGTTACATGAAGGAGTTTCTAAAACTTACATAAGGCAAAATAAAATGTCTAAAATTTTGGTGACTCTGGTGAATGTGTGCTCATGAGAGACATGAAAAATATCATGCAGTACTTATGTTCAAAATGAATGGTTTTCTTGCCTCTTCAGTTCTGTCTCTCCAGCTGATCATGTATTTGTGAAACTTCACTATCTGTGGCAATGTATATTACCCAGTGTCACATTATGAAAGCTGCAATACAGCAGGCTCTTTTCTCCCCAATACGTGCAGAAGAATTACTTTAATCTTTTCCCTCTATGAGGAAAGATAAATGCTATCTGCTGTGTATACCTGATGAAACACTTATCTATTTCAATAATGAATGAATCCATTTTAAACACATGTTATACTATCCATCTTTTGTGGTTCAAAAATGGATGACAGTGTGATTATGTCTTCCTGAGATAAGCAAATGTGTGTATTCTTAGATCCTCTGGCTTTTAAAATACCAGCAAAGTAAAACTGCGCAAATTAGTCATTTTTCTTAATGTTGACTTCAAATTTGGTACTCTTTTCTATCTTATTGAATGTTCTGTCACAGTTAATTTTAAAGAGATTAAATTAGATTTGGGTGGAATGTACTAAGAATTTATCATACTTTTATGTAATTATTTTGTAAAGTATGTATCATAAAACATTTCTATGACCAGGGTTACTGTAGCTAGGAGAAAAGTCATTATCAGCCTTATTTACTGGTCTGAGAATAAAGTGTTAAGAATGTGAAACACATAGGTTCCTGATATTCCATCCAGGCCATAGGTTTTTAACAGAGAATTATCACCACCCATGCATCTAAGAACACAACCATCCAAGCCAATACAACTACAAATTGGGATTTAAGAAGCACAAGAAATATACGGTAGAAGAGTTGAAAGCATTTTTTTATCTTTAAACTTAGAAAATTTAAAGAAGTTTTCAATGTTCCTTTATCTATATTTGAAAATATCTAGAAACATGGATGCTTAAGATAGTAAAGGCTTGAAAAGTATTTTCCTCACACACTAGCTCACCACCTCACCTTTAGCACTGTCCTTTTTGAAATTCCCTTGCTGTGCCCATGAAAACATGTAACTGTTCTTGTACCTTGCCTCATACATGAATAGCTGGAGTTATCAACCAGCTACCAGCCATGAAAAATATTCTTGAATATGGCAAGAGTATAAGATGGAAGAAGTAATACTTAAGTCAAACTCAAAACCAAACATCAAGAATTGAGTAGCTTTTAATTAAATATGCTTTGAAAAAAACACTTTTCCTCATCTCCTATTTCATACTGCATATTTTAGATATTTAAAATTGCATGGTCCCACACACACTGTGATACCTACAGACCATATCTAGTCCCAGTGCACCATTCACCTAAACCAGCTGAGGGAGGAGACAAAAGGCAAAAATGCATGCAGGCTGCTAATCTGCTTATAACAAAAATAGAGGCTTCAAAGACCTCTCATCAAAAAATATATATATTGTCTGAGGGGAGAACAGAAATTGCTTAAAACGCTCTGAGAATAACTAAATATTCTTTTCTTTTAACTTTTAATATAGGACATGAATGTTCTGGTCTAATTTGACCTAAAATGATGCAGTCCTTCTCCTGGAATTAGTTAGTTATTTTAGCTCCCATTTGACAATGGAGTGGGAAATAATCGGACCAAAAATAGTTTAAACTTTGAGCTTTTTCTACTGGAGCAGTTTTCTTATCACTCAGTGTTGTAATGGCATGCCACGATGGGGATTTGCTTTCTCAGAGTGATTTAAGTCACGGGAAGATAGAAGAGGGCCACTGGAAACACTGTTGATAGCAGGGCGTCTCTGTGAGTTATATTTAAAGCTGTGATGACACTAAATTGCTCCCTCAAAAATACATTGTTCTGTGTGACATATCTTGTAGAGTATAAGATTGACAAATTGTGTGTAATATTGAGAATTTTGAATTAATCTTTTTTTTCAGTGAAGAAGTGTTTAATTAATGACAGTCTCAATACACTTAAAATGATATATATTCTCAGATTAGAGAATGTCAACTCTGTTTACATGCTGATTCACAAAACTTGAGGTTATTAAGAATTTCTCAGTGGTTGTACCTTTCTTATTCAAAGAATCTCTAATTTCATAGTCCAATATTAGTTCATGAAAAAGTCTGTATCTTAAGAGAAACAAGCTATAACCATACAAAATACATTAGGGACAAAACCCCCAAAGCATTAGAACATCATGCATGGCTCTAAACTTCTTATAAAATCAAAAGTTTTTCCAAGTTCTACAACTTGCCATAGGAACATTCTTAAGGTTAATTTTGAGCAAGCTGCTGAGCAGAGCTTAATTTGAGTACCAGGAATTTCATGAAATAATATTTTTCCTCTGCTTCTATTTCTTTTCTCTTTGTTACAAATTTAGCTCCAATTTTAGAAGTACTCCATTTGCCTGTATTTGTTCCCTCATCAAAAGCCATTTGCTTATACAATAGTTTCTGAGAATATTAAATAATTTAAGTAAATATGTAGTCGAGGAATTGAAATATTAATGAAGATCATGCATCTCCATTGCCACCTGGAAATCTCACCTGATGGAAAGAGAACTTAAGTCACATAAATTTTGAATTAAAGGGATGTAGTGGTGAGGAACAGGTGTGAGGACATGTCTGGCAAGAGGAATAAGTAAAGAGAATGAAGCAACTTGACAGTACAGTTACAGTGTAGTTTGTAAGTTAAGTTTCATGTTTCACTCACCCAAATGCTGACTGATGAAAACTGAGCTTCAAATTGAATGACATATCTCTACTGGATCTGCTTCCATGCCCTTTTTGGATTCAATAGATCAAATGTTCTACATTAAAGAGATGATAAACACATTTCTGTTACTTGTCTTTCTATGTTGTCAAGGACAATACACACAGTACAAGGGATTCCTGACTTGTAAGTCTGCTAGTATCTTGTCTATTTTTCAACTATGTTTTTCAATGGCTCCTCCTATTGCAATCCACAGAATTTTGTAAGTGCAGCATGACATAACATATTTCTAGTGGTGTTTATTAGGAGAGATATACATAATGTTTTGTCTCTGAAATTAGCCTAAAAAAAAAGAAATTTCATCATGTATCTCCACTTTCAAATGCCCCTCATGTTTCTATCCTTTCCTGAGATTTTATGAATAAACTATTTCAGACTTAGCTTTACATCATTTTAGAATCACAGGAATAGTTTTATAAACTATTGACAAATATATTGTGATAAATGATCCATACAAATTAAGGTGGGTGGTGTTTCCTTGTATTCAATCTATGTAATAAAATTTAACCTGAAGAGTTGCCCAATGCAGAGTGGCCAGGCCTGAAACTGTAGACACACAAACAACACACAAACTGGACTCAGCAGGTTGTATTTATGTGACATATATGCATATGTAACAGTAGTAACCATAGAATAAGAGGCTATCAATTGAGAATGGGGTCGTGAGAGGGATGTAAGAGAGGCTATCTAAGAGCGACTGGAGGGAGGAAAAGAAGGGAAAGTGGTGTAATCTATTTCAATAAAACATACTTTTAAAAATCTCTGACTTTTCCTCATTCCTGTATTAGTATGCCTATCATTTACTACATAAACGTGTGCATGTGCACACATGCATACATACATAAACACAGACAGACAGACAGACACACACACACACACACACACACACACACACACACACACACACACACAC